GGGAGAGGGGCTTAGGGGAATGGATGAGGTAGATGGAGTTGAGGTTGATGCTGTTTGTTTGTGTTGTGTTGAGTTTATAGTTGCAGAGGAGTTGTTTGTTGTCGCCGGTTGTATGCGGATACACACCCAGACAATCACCTTATCTTATCGGAAGCTCTTATCGATAAGCCCGGCCAAGCTTTTTGCGACATCATGACGATCTTCATCCTCTCCCCTCCTCTGGTTGCTGCTCCCTTCAATCACGCCCTATTCTTTCACCAGGAACTCACCACATTCAACCACCACCACACTCCACCACCGCAAAACCAAGCAGAAAATGTCCACCCTCAAAGAAACCCTGCTCAACGAGATCGCGCACCTCCGCGCCATCGCCAAAGACCTCCTCTTCTCCGGCACATACATCTACCCCATAAAAGTAAGTCCCCGGTTACACCGACCCCTCCGATTACACCCCTCCCAATACATCCCCAGGATCTAAAAAAAACCAGGGAATAATCTACACCCTCCACCACCGGCCCCTGTGGACGCCGCTCCTCTCGCGGTCCACTAAAACCCTCACCCTGGGCCTGGGCATCACCACGACCATGTTCTTCTTCACCTACCTCCCGCAAGTGGCGCTGCTCACCTTCACGGCGGGGCCTCTTCTCGCGCCCTTCTCCGCCGCCCTCCTCGTGCTCTCCGAATCCTCCACGATCACCACCTACCTGGCGCGGTCGTTCCTCCTCGCCGACGCGCTGACCGACACCTTCGACGCGACGCTGCTCGAGCGCGGCGAGGACGCCCTCGTCGCGCGGGAGCGCGCCGTCGCCGTCCCGCCATCCTCGTCCTCGTCCTCGTCCACTTCCACTAGCGGGGCCCACCGCCTCGGCACCCGCCTCAAGCACCCCATCGAGAAACTCTCGCCGCAGATGCTGCTGCGCTCGCTGCTGTACCTGCCCCTCAACTTCGTGCCGGTCGTCGGCACGATCGCGTATATCTATGTGCAAGGGAAGCGCGTGGGGCCGGTGGCGCACGCCCGGTACTTTCAGTTGAAGGGGTGGGGGAGGAAGGAGCGCGAGGGGTGGGTGGGTGGGGATCGGAGGAGGGGGGCGTATACTGCGTGAGTTTTTCTTCTTCTTCTAGTGGGGATGGGATGGGATGGGGGTGCGTGAGATGGGGGCTAATCTTTTGTGCGTGGGCAGGTTCGGCATGGCGGCGTTTGCGTTGGAAATGATTCCGTTTGCGTCGATTGTGATGGCTTTCACGAATACCGTTGGGGCGGCGCTGTGGGCGGCGGACTTGGAGAAGGCTACGAGGTGAGGAGCGGGGTTGGTTTGGGGGTTGGGTTGAGGGTGTGAGGGTGGAAGGGTGCGGTTGGATCAGGTGGAGGCTGGTGTTGTGGTTTAGGAAGTTGGAACTGTTGCGGTGCGTAGTTTATATTGGATGAGAACTTTGTAACTTTCTCTATCTGTAGTTTACCCCGGGACATAGCTGTGGCCCACATTTTATGCTAACCATATATTAACAACTATTGAAGTACTGTACGCAGATCACTCATTCAACTCATGCTCCGCCAGACACTCCTCCAACAGCTCGGTCATCAGAGGAACCATCTCCCCCCGCCGCATCGCCCGGTAGAGCACCCCCGTGTAGGAGCCCACCGTCGGCGCCGCGCGGCGTTGACCTGTCCTCATCGCTTCAGCCGTCGGCGTCAAGATCTGAGCCGTGCATAAGAACGGGACCCCCAGCGTCCGCCGCACAAACGCATAGACCTTCTTCGATGCCACCCCCAAATACGCACTGGCGTTGCCGTGGATCAGATACGCATCTCGATTGACACACCACGCGTCCAGAAGCAGGGAGTCCGTGTCTTCGACAAAGGTCTGCAGCGCCCCGAGTAGCTCGGCAGACGATGCACTAGCCCCAACATGGTCGAGGATGGGCACCCGCATGCTTTTCGCGATGTGCAGGAAGCGGTCCTTCGCATCCATCGTGACGGTGGAGTCGAGCATCCTCCCAAGGTGCAGCCATATCGCAGACGAAAGAGCTTCCACATTTATGGATCCGGTGTCGTTCTCATCGCCTGCATCTGGCTCGATGGCTTGCAGCAACTCGTCGAGCAGCATCGCAAACGGACGACGGATCGAGTCCAGGAACTGCAGTTGCATGGCGCGAAGGTCCAGGGCCTGGCATGCGGAGAGGAGGTGCGCGGCGGCGAGCTCGGTCAGAACCCGCACGCCCGTGGCGGTGTATCGGGCTGAGATCAACGCTAGGGAGTTCAGCGATTGATTGCCCATCTCGGCGTTTTGAACATGGTTCACCGGGCCAGCAAGAAATCCCAACTCGGACTGGAGAGCGGAAATGTATATGTCGATGGCCTTGAAGATCCCCGACTTGCTGGGCTCCTCGGCGACCAGGTTCGGGGGCAGGCCCCAGCTTGTGGCGGGGTTGATCATCTCCTGACATTGCGTGAAAAGCATGCGGCCGATGGTCTGCACTCCCTGGCGACTCTTCTCCATTGCGGCGGTCACGGCCCTGGCCTGGAAATTGCCCCCATGCAGGAACTCGCCGTCGTGGGTCACTAACGGGTTATCCGTGGTCGAATTGCATTCGATGCTCATCTGATGGTGGGCAAGGAGTAGATCCTCTAGCACCGGACCGAGCCACTGTGCCGCAGTGCGGATGGAGTATCGGTCTTGTCGCAGAGCTCCGTCTTTCCCGTCCTTGGTCCGAGCCAGCTGGGAACCCCTCAGGAATGCTCGGATGTTGCGAGAGCTTTCGACTTGCCCGGGGTGTGGACGGACTTCCCCGAAAAAGCGATCGAAGCTTTCTGGCGATCCAAGAAGCGCTTCCACAGTCATGGCTGTAAGGATTTGAGAGAGCATAGCCAGTTGCTGCACGTCATGAAGCACGAGGGCACCACAGGCCGCCGAAATAGCCGTTCCGTTGACAATTGCAAGGCCCTCCTTTGCCGTCAGGTCGACTGCCGTGATACTTGCACTAGCGAGGGCTTCATCTGCGTAAAGATCCCCATCGTGACCGGAGGTGGGAAACACCCGGATTGTAGGCTTTCCCTGGATGACACCGCTGATATATGCCAGCGGACTCAGGTCCCCAGACGCAGAGATACTGCCGCGAATGGGCACCAGGGGAATGATATTATGCGTTAGCAGTGCCTCCAACCGATCCAGGATGACCGGGCGGATGGCCGAATGACCTCGCAACAACGTGTTGATTCTTAGGAGAATAGCACCCCGAACCCAGGTCAATGGCAGGTAGTACGACTCGCGTGCTTCCTCCCGTGCGAGGTCAAATTCACGATGGTCTTCGCAAACGATGCGTCGGCGAGGTTGAGCATCTCGAGAACCCGGAGGAAGGATGCCATAACCGAGTTCTCGAGTCAGCACCCGTTGAAGTGCTTGGACATCTTTCGTGCGAGTATGCGCAGAGGCACCAAAGCCGGTGTTGACACCTAGTAGCGAAGCAGATGCATCAACTTCAGGCTCACAAGGAGTTGTATTGATAGGCTCACATACCGTAGATTACGTCTCCTGACGAAAGACTATCCAGTAAGGCGTTGTGACTTTTATTGACCTCCGAATATGCTGTTGGATCAATTTTCACGCTCTGAGCATGTCTACACATCATTAGCGCAAGGAGGCTCAAAAGGAATTTGTGACCCACCTCGCAACATAGACGACATGTGGGATGTCCAAGGTGTCACCGTCGATGGTCACTTCCACCCCTGATTCGTTTGCTAGCTGGCGGCACAATTTCCATTGTTGCACCACCAAGGATGTATGAAATTTGAAGGACTGCATCTTGGCTGGGGACAAGAATGTCCGCGAACAATTGCCAGGTTTGGGCTCGCCTGATGTCTGCTCTTAAGTACTGTACCAGCCTACTACAAATTGTGGGGTTTCAAAGCCCAGTCGTGACAGTGACGAGGCTACCAGCGCAGTCAGACTTGTGCAACATCGAGTTAGGCTTCAAAATTAGGCTGTCACTCTAATTCCTTCCAGCGCATAACACCGCCGAAAGGTGGCATATCATCCAGACCCGCTTCTCCGCAGGCACTTATGCAAGGCGTCCCCTAGCCCGGGGTCTGATCCACCAACGCTCACTAGTGTCTTATCGGACTGCAAGAAAGTAGTATCGTGAGTCAATAGCTTCATGTAAGCCTCCCGTCATGAAACCTGTGGTTACTACGGGGTACGGAGTATTACCTCTTAAGCCACTGCCACTCGAACTCCATTTTTGGACATCAGCGCAAGACCGGCGCTCTCAACCCACTCGTTCGGATCTTTGGAGTCTATTGAGCGAACATGCTGCGCCAGGCGAGTGAGAACATAAGTGGCTTCATTTAAGGCCAGATCCACTACGATGGTGGTTGTGGCGTTAGTACGGACGCCGCCATGAGCACGGATTGGATGGAAACACTTACTGCCAATGCAATTCCTCGGTCCGCCCAGAAAGGGGATGAACTTCTGCGATGGGGTTAGGAGCTAGCTCTGATGTCATTCGGAAAGACTCCTTACCCAATTCTGCTTTTGGTCAAGCCAGCGGTCGGGGTCAAATTCTTCTGCGTCGTCACCCCAGAGATCGTGACGGCGGTGCATGGCATACGTCGCGATGTGCACCATCGTACCCTTCGATACGAAGATTGGCGAGCTGCCATCGGCCCCCCCGCCAGTGGGAAGAACCGTGTCTCGGTTAGCAACTCGAGAATTGGAAGCTTGTGGCGGATGAATGCGAAGGCCTTAATGGGAAATTGGTCGTTAGCATCGTCATCCTATCAGGTGCGAAGACCTCTTACTCTCGAATACACAGCCATTCACATATTTGAGACCTTTCAATTGTTGCAGCGTAGGTGGCTGGCCGCGCAAGTGCTGTATTTCTGAGCGCACGCGCTCCCATGCATCAGGACGCTTTGAAAGAATGAAGAATAAGTTGATCAAGAGGG